TCGAGCTACCCGGATCCCTAAATTTTCCAAAAACTTAGACGACTGGGCCTAGCACGAGACCACCGAAGAGGCCCCGCCCTCTTAAACCTGCAGCCCGAGCTTCTAAATTTTCCGGAAAGCTCGCAGTCCAGAAATTTCCCGAAAATTTTGGGGCTGGGGCGCTCCGAGGCGTGCTGCACCGCATAGGGCTGGTTTGACCGTAGCGTTTTAAAGAGTATATATCACGGTCACGAATAGATTATATTTAATTCTATATTCTCAAAAGGAGAACCATATCGTACTTCCACAGAAGTAATTCATACAAATATTTAGATATCTAGAATTATTCTTCGGTATATACCGCATAGTGATAATACTCAATTCTGCATTTCCAATGCAAGAACACCATCATGTTACCACAGTGTGGGGAATGGTACATATGTATGTGTGTGTGTGTGTGTGTATGTATGTATATATATATATATATATATTCTATGTTTTTGATATATATATATATATGAAATTGAAGTTATGAAGTCCAGGTATCTGCCAAAAATATCTGTGGCTATGTTTCCGTTTTTTTTCGCCCTGTTGCGAGATTCAGGTCATCCCGGAGGTGGCGTACGCCTTACCCTCTTGCCCATCTTCCGCTTTCCCTCAATTCGGACCCGGTCGAGCACGGGTTTTAGCACCCGGATCAGCTGAAGAAACGCCTGTGAAAGGGTCTTTCGAGTTTGATTCGGAGTTTGGTTCGGGCTCGTGGATGCAACTTCGTACAATTCGTACAAGAGTAAGGCACGCAGAGTGGCACACGTTGCACGCATTGAGCCGCTTTAGACGTGCACATCCCACCGGCAGCTACACCTGCGACATCCAAGGCTCGCCCACCCAGGGTAATGAAAAAAGCGGCTAGGACATGCGCTTGGTTCACTGAAAAACCGGACCAGCTGCCTATGTCGACAGCCTTAGATCCGGCGCAACAACCGTTAACGGAGCGTGGACGCGCAACAGCCCAGCCCAGCCTGTGCCTGTGCCGCACAAGCAAGAAAGAAGAAGCGATCACCCACCTTTCTTCAAGACCTGACTCAGACCTTGCCTGGTGAAGCCGAAAGCCAAGTACCGACCTCTGAGAAGACATCTCGACAAAACAGAGTTGGGGAGTCTTGCCTCCTTTGCGAGGCCGCAGGAGGCGAGACTTTCCTCGTCACTCAGCTGCCGGCCTTCGAGAAGCAGCCTCAACCAACACACTCCAAAACAAACACAACAGACTGGAAGGCCTGGTCGAATTTCGAATTGCAAAGCAGCGACGCTTCTGGCTGATGCTGCCATGGGTCTGTTGCTCCTCCGCGGGTATGCCGGCCACTTCTGCCACTGCCTGCACTAAACACCTAGCCGCATAGCGCGGTGTGGACATACACGGCGTCGATGCAGACCGTACATCTCTACACCCTCAAAGATCAAAAACCAGGTTCTGAATCTCCCGATTCACGGAAGCTGTGCCCAAGAACCCACCTTCAAGCCCAGGCGTCCAATGTAAACCTGCCTCTACCTTGGTTATGCCAGGGTATCAATGCCGCACGCTGCCTTCTTGACGCTGTAGATGCTTGCTTCTGCAGGAAGGCTCAACTTTGGAAGCTCTTCCCCGGAAAGTAGGGCGATGTGCAGGGAGATGGCACCTCAAAGCGTCGTCATTTCTCGGCGATTGCAGCTCTCCGGCTTTCATGGGCTAAGTGGCTTCACAGGGCTTGAATTTTTGGAACGTGAAAGCCTCACAGCACTCCAACCTCAAGCAGAGAAAAGTCGTAAGTGGTTTCCCGACACAGGGAGGTTTTGTCCAATGCAGAGCCCGCGAGTATGGTAATGGCTTCGCCCTCGGGAGTTTGTGGCGTTCGTGTTTGGCCTTGTGCGCGGTTAAAGAATTTGATTACAAGCGCTTAGTTTCGAAGCTTGAGGTTCGGGCGGATGGCCAGGATGGGGAGCTCACGATGAGTGCCAGCGAGTGACATTGCCTTGTCACAATCCATGCTGTTGACATGGAAACTTTTTGCAGTCGGAATCTACTGTACGACAGCAAACTTTGCCCACCGAGCCTCAAACCGCAAAGCTCGTATCGTAGAGACGAAACTCCCGACCCAGCGACTAAGGAGCCGACTTTCCTCTGCACTAGCAGAGGTCGCTGCACCAACGCCGGTTTCGCGAACCAGGAAAGCCACGCAACGGCGCTGCATGGTGTGCGCGTTGATCTCTTCAATGGATTCGCAAAAGTATACATTCTCTTTGCCTTCGATGCTGAAGCTACCAGTGACTCATTGGATTGGCAGGGCTTCGGTATGGAAGTGGCGCAACTCCCATGGACTTCAGTGAATCACAGGCTGTACAGGATTCCGGTGTAGCTGGGCGATACTGCTATGAGTTTGAAAGGGTTTGCAAGGGCAGTGCTCCATTGGAGTTTGAAGAGCTTCCGTGTGGCCGAACAGCACTCCGATGATTTGAATGATTTCAGTGTGCCGGTGGCAATACTGCCAATGTGTTTGAACTGATGGCTTTGGGTATCGCTGCTCTGGTTCTGGCCACGGGTCCATAATGCTCCACAGAGCGTTGCAATCGCTGCCAAGCCACAAACGTTGCAGAATCGTTGGTTCGGCGCATCTGTTGGAGTCAAGCTCTCCCAAAGCTTGGGGCACTCGTACTCCCAGTCCTCGGTGCACGTCGTGCACTTCTCCGGGTTTCCAGCCTGCCCTGCCCCAAAACTTCGTGACAACATACCCGGTAGAAGAAACAGATGCTCGGCAGTTGCCTCGGCGATGGACATGCCTCAGCAACCCCTGGCGCTGCCAAAATGTCCTGCCGTGTCCGGGTCACCATCATTTGTTTCGGACATGGAGGTTGTGGATGCAACGATCTAGTTTGGCGCCCGGAGACAGGTCGGAAAACCAAGTGTGGGGAGGCTCCAGTCTCGCTGCGGGCAAGGAACGAGCAGGGCTTTGCACCCCTGGCTCTGAAATTCTGTGTCCGGAAGTTGTGGACTCTCTGGCACGTAAGCACCAACGTCAGGAAATCATGGCATGCGCCCAGGGTCAAGCCAACACGACTGCTAGAAAACTCACGCTTGCATCCGGTGTCGCAGCAAGTTGCCAACAGTAAGGAGAAACCTCTGACGCACAACCAAAATCAAGTTCAGGACCGGCTATGCTCAACGTCCGGGGACATTCGAGGGCTGTTTAGGTTTAAGTTTAAGTGACTGGGCTTCCACAGCTGACCCGAAACCCCAAGACGGTCCGAACTGGGGCCCCTGCTCCCGCACAGTTCTCGATGTCAAGAACCTTTGCAGGCTTGGAGCTATAACCCAAAGCCAAAGCAAGAAACCTAAACGATCCCCACAGCTCGCCTTGGGTTCGCTTCCAAGCGGCTGTGCGGAGACCTGCCGGGGAGATTTTCAACTCAAAGGGCTAAAGCCGCCATAAGCTGAAGATCGAAGCCTGCAGCGGGATGTCGCCGGTCCATCTGATGCCAGCCTGATTTCAGCGAGGACAAGGTTTCATGTTAGAAAGCAGAGCTGCCAAGCTGAAGCCACTTTCATAGAGGGAAAATGAGGGAAACGCCGGGCTCTGCTGCAAAACTCGGGAGGCAAGCCAGGAAGCCTCGAGGGCCAAAGAGTACAGGGCGGCGGCTTTCTGCATGCATTCCCGGGGCGGTAAGGTGAACACTCCTGCCAGGGTGCGATCTGCAGTAACCAGTGTTCCCGGATGAGCCGAGTGGGAATGCGCTGAGTTGCTACATCTGCTTTGCGGAATGCTTTAAGCACTTGATGGCGAACTTCTCCACATGAGCATTGCGAGCATTAGCATGCAGCAAGGACTACAAACGATGAGCACTTGTCCGATAAGAGTGACCAGTGAACACCAACCTGACTGCTTGTGGCTGCTCTCCTGTGTCATCAGTGATGGAACCATCAGCAAATTTAAAGCACATGGTCGTGACTTCCATAAGCTCCACCTCTCCGTTGTTGAATTCCTGCACACAGACATCATGCCCGAAGTTAGGAGAGTGCGGAAGATGACACTTGGTCTGACTAGTGGCCATGCCGTCCCCCTCTTCACGGGCACTACTAACCTAAGTCCTGAAGCTTGCCGTCGTTCAAGACGAACTCCAGCCTTCGGCAGGGCGGTGTAGCTTCAATTCGTCGCAGCCGCGGCCCCCCCGCGCCTGTCTCCATCGGTGTCTGTGACCAGCAGTTTCTGCGCTGGCGGAGGCCGTTCGCCACGCCATTCGATGCCGGCACGCATGGCCAAGGCATGGAGCCCAAGCGCCTTCTCAACCTGCCGACACAGCACGACACAGCTCCCTCATCCCTCAGAGCTTGCGCAAGTCGCCTGGTCTTGCTGAAGTTCGAAGACTCCCTTTGCATCGGTGATGCCGCCAGCTGCGCTGTACCTGGGTCGGAAGCCAAGAGTCGGAACCCAGGTCTACGGCACGAGTCGAGAAAAACAAACAAACAAAGTGGAAAACAAGGAGGCGCGAGTCAGATGCAAAAGCGTGAGAAGGGAAAGAAAGCTACGAATCAGCAGCAGTCCGCTGAGCCTGGGAAATAAGAGACTAACCTGGGTAAACGTTGTCCAGATACTTCCCGTTTGCGGGTGATACTGACGGCAACAACCCGGTTTTGCAAACGCATACATATCGGTTGCTCTACAGCAGGACTCCGGGTCCTAGTCCGAGCCAGTACCCTGAACGGAGATGATTCTTGCAAAAAACCAGAACCCTAGCTGGTTGCCAAACCCCAAACCCTAGATGAGATCCGAATTGCGAAACCTATAATCCGGAGACGTAAACCCTAAGCCCTAAGAAGAGCCAAACCCCAAGAGGAGATTGCTGCTGCTTGCGCCCAGAAATGGCTGCCTGGCCTGCCAGTGCGCGCATGAAACTCTGTCCCGAAACTCGGACCTGAAACAAACCGGCCCTGAAGCCGACTTTTGGTTTGTCATACCCTAAACCCCAAAACCAGAACCCCCTTAATGCCTGACATCATTTCCGACGCTCGTCGCTCAGGTTCCTGACTGATGGTTTTTTGACAAACCCCCATGGCTCTTGAATCGGGCAGCACCCCGGTCTATGTGGTAATCCCCAAGGAGAGCAATTGTTACTGATGCCCACGGAGAGTGAACGGGTCTTGCAAGCAGACACTAGGGTCAGGTGTCTTGGCGCACACTCCACCGCCGCTTAGCAAAGTGCTTCAGCGGTCGAGTATTCGGTCCGACATGCAACACTATGGTAAGGAGATTTTTCCAAAGTGCTGCAGCCACCTCACATCCTCGATCTCCAGTTGGCCATTCACATACCTCGGAAACATACGCATCCATAAACGTAAAGTCTGCGAGACCAACGACCCTGATTCAGGGCCCGTGTGAGGCAATTCTTGCATTTATCAAACCGAAGCACTCGCACACCCCTTGTTTCATGCGGATAGCACTGCTGCAAAGTGGCTGTTTCAGCTTGCCATGGGCATCAATAATGAAGTGTATGCAGTCACCATCCTTGTCCAGAAGATCCATGTTGCGCAAGCCAACACAAGCAGATAAGGCTTCTGCAGCTCGCCGCACCACTGCTGTTTCTATAAGAACCTCAATGCATGCAGCTAATTGACACATTTCGACAGATTCATAGCCTGACTTCCGTTTTCCTTCTTGGAATCGGTAATCCCATGGATACGTGCACACACACACACACGCACAAGCACATCCTACAATTCGCGACAGCTTGAGCCATGCGGATGCCTGAAACCTCCGGTCTTTCAAGGTGGCATAGCCGTTACGTTAGGTCCTGCCGTAGCTTCTGAGGGGTTCGCAGAGGATGCTACACCTTGGAAGACAAGAAACGACACAAGCCTGCTTGAGCGAGCACACACATTTATTTCAAATCCTTGTTCAGGTTTGGCAAGCGAGGGTTCCCCCTATGAGCTGAGGTCCGTCAGTTCACCGGGCAGGAGTTGAAAGTTGAAGGGATGCCTTTCCATCAATATGAAATCCTGTATGTCGCAAGGTGTCCGGTACGTCCCCCGAAATTGCTTTGAGCAGTGGTTTTCCTGAAGTGAAATGGTTACAGCTTCAGGTAGTTTAGCGCTGCGGATTCAGAATTCTGCTTGGAGTTTGAGCTCCAGATGGGGGCCCGTATACATGGAATGTCCTTCTACTAAGGTCTTTACTAGGATGCCGCCGCGGACTTCGCAAGCACTGCCAGGTACGTGTGCTTCGAAGACTGCAGGCATCTGATGTCATAGTGCCAGCCGCCGTGCATGCGGTTGGTCGTGGCGGTCGTGGCTGTGTAGGGCTGTTGCCGGCATGCTGGTGTATCATGGCGTAGACCAATGATGTCTGGGGTTCAGTGGGACTGCAGGTTTGGGGGCTGAAGAAGCATGTAGGGAAGCCTCGCGATTTTTTCCACCGTCTGTAGAGACGACTGCGATTCAGCATTGCGACAGTTCTGCAAAAGCAAGCACGCCATTACCGTACTGGCGTGGAGTTCAGACCAGCGCACAGGGGGCTGAGGAATCCCGCCAGTGAAGGCTTCCAGGCTCTGAAGAAAATTGAAAGACTCTGAGACGTAAACAAATGACCTTGAAATCCGAGCTCGGCCAGACAGCCACACAGGAGAACATCTGGGCCGAAACAACATCGAACCCACACGGACAGGGAAAGAAAGGTCAAGCATAGAACAGGATCGTCAGTCGGGGATGTGTACACTCTTCTGCGTGTTCCCGTAGTCGCGGCTTCTGCCATTCGGATCTCGAAGTCACTGCGATAAAATGGCTGATGCCAGAAATCGAGACCTAACTAAACTTACTAAATACGGCGGGCATTCCCTGCCTTCTTATGACAAGCTGCCTACTCTTTGAGTGGCTCAGCGCCTCCTGCCCCTCTGCAACCACTGCAACGCCCCCCTGTTTCTTGGCCGATGCGGTGGTCCCAGCTCCTTCGGCTTGTGACATAAGAAACTCGACCCACTGAAAAACCAAGCAGAATGAGTCTAGAGCATGGCCTGCATTCTCTGAAGGTCTCGCTACAGATTCCTGCTGGAGGCCTACAGCAGCACAGACACCAGGACTTGCACATCCTGAAGTAAATCCAAGTCTCTTGTCCGGTATTGCGGACTGGCCTACCTGAGCAGCAGGCAGCAACGAACTCCCCAACCTCAATACCAAACGTTCTCCACTCCGAGCAGCACGACTGCGCGCTGCCGTGGTTCCGCTACGGAACAAAGCACCTACCATTACGACGGCTCCGTCCTGGACTCAAGATGGCAGCAAAACACACAAACTACTCGAACGTAGAGGGTAAAGCCAGTGAACAGCAACAGTGCTTCCACACCCTCCCTCCGCCAGCAGCTGGAGGCCTCAAAACCCTGACGACAAATATCCTGAACTCGCAGAAGGGCCTTTCTGGGAGCAACACCCACCGAAAATAATCTCCTATGATCACCAACCACCCACCAAAACTCATATTATTGCCAGGAAACACAGGCAAGAGCGGCAACGAACAAAATTCGTTAGAACAGCCGGCCACACACGACGGCTCCAGGCCAACGGAAACGACGACGACAACTGCAACTATGACACTCATACTCGCACTGATGCACTAAAGCCCTTAACGTGATTTTCAGAGCCAAGGCAAAACATGAATCAACTTCGGTGGCTAAAATCCAGATCGCTGCCAGGATTCCGTTTGCCCACATGTTGGCCCTCACGATGCCTCCACCGCTCGTGGCAAACCGGCCATTGTTGAAGGACCACGTCATGCCCGCTCTCGCAGGGTTTCCGGCCTGTCAGTATTGGGCTTTCGAGTTGGATCCCAATTTAGTTCAGCAGTACCGAGCCGTTCGGTGCAAACCTGCTATTGAAGCTTCTAGGATTCTAAGATCATCTAGGAGTCCTCCATTTTCACCAAACAAAGACACTGCAAACTAGACACAAGCTCTGGTGTGCAGAAAGCCATACCCCTCTGCAGCATCCTGGTAGACCTGCATGTCCAACGGCGCTACCCAGCCCGCACAACCGTGGTGTGCCTGGCCCCTCTGGGGACGGCCGCCGCGGGACAGCATCCTTCCTCCAAGCGGCCCCTTGCCATTCAGGGTTTAAGGCTGAGGGGAAGCGCTTAAGGCTTCTGCAGATCCATAGCACGACGAGTTCCGAGCCTCAATTCCGAACTCTAACCCACCCCAGCCAACAGACAACCACTTATGCTGCACATCCTGCTGGCCTTGCGTCTTCCACGGAGAGTGCACGAAGTTCTGCCTTTCCGTTCCTGCTGAGGCTTCTCCCGTTTGATGCTGTTTCAGTGGAAGGCACTCGAAGTTACCGAAGAAGGGGTCGCATGCATGTGCTGAACCCTCACCCGACTACTCGTCGCAGCACCAATCCGACTCAGCGATCTGACAGAACAGGCCGAGGCACCTTGCATCTCAACTGAAATCGCAGAGGCTTCCTTTTGCGCTTGAAGAAACCGTTGATTCTTGCCATCGTCTCGTTTTCGCTGTCCTGGCCACTTCCAGCACCAGGCGGATCGAAGATTCAAACTCCCCGGTGCAGAAAGAAGTCCCCTGTGCTGATCGAGAATTGATAGACTTTGAACTTGAAGTGTTCACCACTACTCTCAAATGGTTCAGGAGAACATGCTGTTTGTCAGAGGTCTTGTCAGCAAAGTCCTCAAGCATACAAGCTTAGGACATCAGTCTAAAGGGTCACACCCTCCCCCCCTCCTCACTGACACTGAGCAGTCTGCCGCTCTCCATTCTTGCACGGTGGCGCCCCATCTTCTCAAGGCACATCGCGCGGTTGCGCTGGCACATTTCGCCTGCTGGCTCCACTTCCACCGACCGAAGACTTGACCTCTGTGTCTTGACCTTGGTTGCGGCCGGCATACCGTGGCCGGAAAACATGCCCTCAAACCCGGACATACTCAACATGACTTTCCTGCGGTTTCGTGACTGCCTCGCAGGATCCGTCAAACTCCGCAGTCATCTTCATGACGAATGGTCTCCTCCCCCCCCGGCCGGTCCGACGTTTCCGACGCGCGTCCATATCCGCCTGGCTGCAAACGGCATTCACCAATCAAAGTGTGGGGAAGACGGGATCCGAAAACAGGCGTCTAGATCCTGTCGCTTGGCCTCCATGTCAATAGCGCATCCGCCGTCGCGGTCTCGAGCTGACCACTTGAAGTCCCCCTCCTCCGTCTCACCTTTGCCGGGAACTGCACCAGGCCAAACCAAGGACCGTCTTTGCCGTACAAGTGTATCGCTTCGGCTGAGTCGCTCAAGCGGCGCGCGTCGCTGGCATTGAGAAGGAAAGCATCCAAGACGTCCTCCACGTTTTCTCGACTTGGGGACTGATCGGGCCAAACGCTCCCGAACAGCAGCTGTTTACAGAACGGGGCAGCTCTGGGACTGCAGGACTGATGGCATGGAGACAAGGGGCAACCCTTGCGTGGGGGCAGCCCCGAAAATGGGTTGTAGTGTACAATTCCGACACCAGAAAAGAAGCGGTAAACAAAAAAAACAACAGGTCCTGGTTGAAAGCTAACACCTCGAAGAAAGGTGAAGCCCGTCGTGGTGGTGGTAAGGGGTGGGGAGAGTTTCGGAGTGATGGGTAGGAATCATCGTAAAGCCAAGATTGATGGCATGGATGGCGGAATGTAGGACCGTGCTTGTTTTCGACAGGAACATGTCTGATATGGTCTCTCGCTTGTCCCAAGTGCAGCTGCTCCCAGCGTCTGGGAATTAAGGGGCCTGACATTAATTCCATGAGGCTTAGAAATCCCCGCCGAGGTGTTTAGTTTGGCACACTTCGCACAGGCTTGCGATATTCTCGGCCTCATTATCCGCCATCGTGAAGAGAGATGTCCAATACAGCGAGCCGGTGGCGATCTCAAGGAACGGACTGCCCGTGTCCTTGCAATGCGAAAGGATATAGATATACATCTAGATGTAGATCTGGACCTAAACAAAGACACAGATACCGACACATATTCCTAGATATATATATATATATGCATATACACATATATATATATATATATATATTTATTTATTTATGTAGATACACACACACATACACAGATTTATGACGGAACAGGAAACAAATATGCAGGCCATGTCAGAAGATACGTGCCCGAAGCAAATCGGACGCATGTCCATGTAATGAGGAAGCAAGGACAACACAGGGCTACACAGCTGTTCGAAAAGTTTGCAAGCATTACAGAGCAGCTATCCAGCCCTGCCAGCTGCCCGGAAACCCTCTTGAAAGCTCAGCGATGGATCCCCGAGCCGTGACGCCCGAAGAACACTGCTGCCGTGCCGCCCGCAACCCCGATTCAAGAGCCCGCGACAACACTATGCAGTAGTAAAGAAAGGGCCAAGGCAGAGCACTCTGGTGATCTTCTTGCCGCAACCCGACCTCCTCGACAAGCCCTTGCAACATCTCGTAGTTGAAGAGCAGCGCGCTTGGCATCTCCACCCATGGGTCAATCTCGGGCGGCTCATCGATGTCGTCATCGTCGTCGGC